AAATCCAGCAAATCTATTCCTACATTTATACTGAAAAGAATTGAAAGCAGAGATTCAGATACTTGTACACCAATGTTCAGAGGCAGAAACAACTGAAGTGTCCATCAATAAATAAAATGGATCAACAAAATATGATATACATACAATGGAATCTTATTACCTGCTACAACATGGATGTAGTAAACACTATGCTTGGTGGAATAAGGCAGACACTGAAAGACAAATATTTTATGATTCCACCTGCACTAAGTACTCAGAATAGGCAATTTCATAAAGATAGAAAGTAGAATAGAGGTCACCAAGGGCTGCAGAAAGAGGGGTAGTGGGGTGTATTGTTTAATGGTGAATTTTAGTCTGAGGTAATGAAAAATGTTCTCAAACTAAATGGTGGTGATGGCTGCACAACTGAATATACTGGGTTGTTAAATTTAAAATAATAAACTTTATATGTATATTTTACCATTATTTTTTAAACATAAAGGGTGCTCAGGTCTGAAGCAGTATGAAGTCCCTTTGAACTCTCTAAACTGACTGGTGAGGGCTTGCTTGACAGTGCCCCACACTGAGAAGACACATGTGGGATAAAGTTAAAATTGAGCAGAACAGGAACAACAGACAAAGAAAGGCCTAAATCAGGGTCTTAAAGGACTCGGCAGTAACATTTGGGGCTTGTAGGCTATGGAGTTCACGGTGCAACTTCTCAATTTTGCAGGTTTGGCCTGAGAGTACCCAAAAACATACATAGATGAACGAGCAGGGCTGTGTTCTAATCAAACCTTGTTTATGAAAACAGGAGGCTTCTGCCAATCCTGGGTCTACATAAAAGTGCGGGAGGGGAAGAGGGTCGGCAAGGCATCACAAGGGAGCCCTGTGAGGTTAGGAAAACCATCCTGAACCACACAACTCCTTCTAAAAGTTCCAGGAAACTAATTTCATATAAAAATAAACAGCAGAAAATTACTAAGGTCAAATCTCATTCAAAGTTATTATTTTAAAAAAAAGAGAAAAAAAAAGAGAAGTATAACATTTCTGTAAGATGAGACCACACCAGAAATATATGCATATAAAATAGCTCTAATTACAAGTAACTATCTTAAAACCAGTGCTCGCTTCGGCAGCACATATACTAAAGTATTTTAAAACCAGCTAAACATTAATAAGAAAATGATACATGACATGAAAGAACCACGGTAAATGAAATTAGAAAAACTCATAAGAGTTATACTTTACTCAAAGAAACACTTAGAAGTAAAAGGGGAAAAGATTAAGACTAAATTAGAAGAAACACAAGACCAAATAAATGCAATTTTAAAATGCCTTTAGCAAAACAGGAGGAAAATTTTTAAAGAAATCACAGAAGACAGTAAAATGATTTGAATGAAAATGACAATATGACAGATTAGCAAAGAAGAATAGATATAGAATATAGAAGCTTCTGAAGCAGAGAATTGAAGCAAGTGAACAAGATACAAAAAATCAAGAAAATATATATTAAAAAATCAAGGTATAGATATCCTGGTATAAAATCAAGAAAATCTGTAAAAACTCCCAGGAATGTTCTCAAATTGAGGAAAAAATATCTAAAACTATATATACACCATGTATCCATGTATCTAAGAATACTTAAACAACCAATACCAAGACACATTCTAGTAAATTTACCAGATTTTCAGGAGAGAAAAAATCCTTTATGCATCTGGGGCGGGGGGGGGAGAAGGCAAGTGGCTTATATGAGAAACAAAAGGAGGATATTGTCAGGCTTTTTAACACCAATGCTTGATGCCAGAAGAAAATAATAGAGTAATTGAGTATCTTAAATCCAAGGGAAATAAAATGTGACTCAAAAGACTTTGTATCCAGCAAAACTGACGTTCATATATAAAAAGCACATGCTATTATCAACATGCAAGAGCTCAGGGAGGGCCTTCTGGAAAATGGCAGATGTGAGCCCAAATCTTGAGTTAGAATCTGGGTACTGGAAGAAGGGGTACAGTATAAGCAGATGGCATAATATAAACAAAAGCATAGAGATGGGGAAACAAAGAGTATTTTCAAGGATTGTTCTTTCTTTCACTAACTTACTCATCCTTCAAGTCTAAACATTACTTTCTCAGAGAACCTTTCCTGACCCTACCCGACAAGGTCAGGTTCTCTGTAACATGCTCTCTTAGCTCATTCTTGTTTCTAATTTGAACCACTGTTACAACAAAATAATGAATTGTGAAACTGGTCATTTACCATCTCCTCCTTTAGAACATAAAAGCTTTCTGAAGGCAGGGACTCAGGATGACAGAGTCACATCATAACCCCACTGCCCAGCCCAAAGCCTTGCCATCACAGTCACTCAATGTGCTGAGTTAATGAATGGGTGGATCCACTTAGCTGGAACGGAGGGTTGTACATGAGACTACAAAAATTGGAAGTTTTATTGGGAACCAAATTGTGAATGACCTAGAAAGCTAGGGTTAAACACCTGGATTTTTCTCCTTCTTGCTTTTTAAATTTAAAAACAGTGATGATTTAGCAAAGGATATACTGGGGGATTAATTCTCTCATCCCTCACTAGGGTAGAAGCCTTGAGAGCTGGTGTGCTCACACAGTGACTGACTGGGAGAACACCACCCATGATTTTATAAACAAGCCGTGAATAAATAGCAAGTTCTCTGAGGTGGGAGTGGGTACCATTTAAGCAAAAAGAGGCAAGGCAATTATTGGGTTGGCCAAAAAGTTCGTTCCATAATGTTTTATGGAAAAACCTGAATGAACTTTTAGGCCAAGCCAATATTTGGCTAAACCTCTAACAGTGAGTCAGCTTCATCTTTCAAGGGCTCAGTAGTCCTTTCTTAAAAGATCAACTTCCCTCAGTGCTGTGTCTCCCAGAGTGACTACATTGGGTGTCAGTCTCTATGTTTGGGGACATAATTTAATTATGGACTATACCTTTAATAACTTTCAGAGGCCAAGGACAACAGGCAAATAAGCACAAATTTTTTTTCTTTTTAAAGAATAAAACAGCCACCCAATCAAAAACTGAAGCCGTACGGAAGGATATAAAGTGAAAAGCAAGTCGCACAGACTCCCAGCTCTCCTTCCCAGATGATACTGGTTAAGTTCCTTGTGTAAATTTTTATTTCTAAAATGTGGATTATTAATGCAACAGGGATATTACACAGTCCATATTTCTTATAAAGGTTCAATCTTCTAGATCCTGTTTGACTTAATCAGAGGCAAAATTCAGGTCCCAAATAAAGAAACTGAAAATTTTACTGAAATTCAACACAAAATTTAGATCTAAATAGATTCAACTTAAGCAAAAAACCCAAAATTAATAAGTATATATTAGTTTTTAAGTCAGATTTCATTTTATCTCTTACTACCCATGGTAAAATAAACTCTTCTTAGATTTTCTAAAATAGTGTAAGTCGGTAGTCACCTGGAAACCATTTACTAACTAATTAAACCCTAAATCCATGAAGAAAAAGTACCAAATGCACTCAAGGTCAAAATGAAACAAAGACATAAGCACCTGTATGCCTTGACAAAACAACAGCTCCTGGTAAAATTCCTGATACTCAAGAGAGATTTAAAAATAAATGTCCTGTTAATTTCAATGTTGCCTGTAAGTAGATCTCAACTGATCCTTAGATGATAAAGTTAAGGTAAACATAACTGCCTACTGTGGGGGCTGAAATAATCTGGGAATTGTAAGAGGTGGGAAGTAATCCAATTAACAGAAGCATTGAAAATATGTGATCTTACAACAAAATGAGTATGAATTTGAAAAATGTCTATGGGCATTTTCTTCTCGAAATAAGAGAGTAGAGTGAATACAGGGAATTAATTTTTAACAATACTTCTAAGATCTAAGGCAATCATACGTCTGGGGCTACTAAACTCTCCAAAGCTTGAATATTAAGAAGTTCCTTGCATGGTAATTATTCTAATATTTTAAATTAAAAAACTGACACAATAGTCAACAAATTCAAATTCTTATTATTAATCGGCCTCTAGTTCTTCATACTCCAGCCACAAAAAGAGCTACGAAATTGTGCCCTCTTTATTTAGGGTTTCTTTTTTTTGGGGGGGGGGTGCCACAGCTTGCAGCACATGGGATCTTAGTCCTTACTACAGATGAAACCCACACCCCCTGCAATGAAAGCACTGAATCTTAACCCCTGGACCACCAGAGAACTGCCCTTTTTAAAAGATGCAAACCATTTGCCCCCTGTGCAAATGAAGCTCACCTAGTTGCAACAGGCTGCACCTGTCACAAGGCAGAAGGTGTTCAGAAGGGAATAAGGCAGAACACACTGAAGGTGTTCAGAAAGGCAGGTGACACGGCCATTCAGCCTGCCACTGCTGCTAAGGCGTTTCAGCCGTGTCCAACTCTGTGCAACCCCACAGACGGCAGCCCACCAGGCTCCTCTGTCCCTGGGATTCTCCAGGCAAGAACACTGGAGTGCCTCTTTCCAACTGCAGAGAGCTGGTGTCCTAACATTGAAGACTAACTAGTGAAACTGCTAAACAAAGGCCATGCCAGTAGAAGAGAGGGGCCTTTAGACCTGATGAAGAGTTGTCCAGGCCATTCTTTTATTTAGTTATTTTTTTAAAAATATTTATTTGGACACGGGATCTTCAATCTTCACTGTAGCATGCAGGAATCTTTTTTTTTTTCTTCTGAGTTGCAGCATGTGGGATCTAGTTCCCTGACCAGGGATGGAACCTGGGTCCCATACATTGGGAGTGTGGAATCTTAAGCCACTGGACCACCACGTTCCTAGGCCAATCTTTTCCTATGTCTATTGTTATTAAGGAAAAGATTCCTCTAAGGTGAGCCAAGCTCAGTGGCTCATTTTAACTTAGAGCAACTATTTGCTGCTTCATGAGTTGTCAGCCATCTAACAGGATTCTCCTAAGTCAGCTCTCATTCCAGCAGTGCTCTGCATCCCTGCTTGGGAAGCTCCAAGGGAAGCAGATGAAATTAATTAGGATACAGCCCATTAAAGCCAAGGCAAGTATTTTACCAGCTGTGTACAGAGACCTTCCCACAACCATGGCAAAGGCCACAGAAGAAATATTTTTACCGCTGAGAGTTCCACAGTCACTGTCCTTTTTGACTCACTCCTCCTCTCTTCAGCTCTCTTCCTGACCATCTCAGCCAGTCCACCATGTTTGTTCTCCCAGAAGCACAAGGATTTCTTTTAAGATTATTTTTGTGGTTTACCCAACTAACCGGGAAAGGAGGCCTGTTGGGACAGAAGGTAAAATCAAATAAACAATCCTCTGAACGTCTGGGAAACGGCTGCTGGGCCTTCAACTTCAGGAGACACTCGCCAGCTGTGCTCTTCTACGCGGGGTCCTCCTCATCCATCGCCACGTCGTCACTGGTATTCTGCTGCTGCTCGGCCTCTGGCCCCGCGGGGAGGATGCTTGTGACGGTGTGGAGCAGAGCTTCGATCTGCTCCTCTGTCAGCCGTTCCTCACTCTCCTCCACCATCTGCAGAAGGAAAGAAAACCCTTCAGGACTACAAAGAGCCTCACAGACTGGGCCCACCCCCAACCTCCCCTCCCCATGTTGTTCCTGGTCTCGGCCCAGCCCCTCAGCACAGAACTCAGGGGCTGGCTCCTGAGCCGCCCTGGGTCTCCAGGCCCTTTCCGCCTTAACTCCCCAGGAGGGAGAAGCCTGCTCAAATGCCAGGGTAAGCCGATGTGGCTGCTCCACACGAGTCAGTGAAAAAAGCAAGCTGCAGGTTAGCATCTTTTCTTAAAGAAAAAGCAAACCTTAACAGTTCTCTACCCATCCACATACACACAAAATACACTACATATACAAAGAAAACTCACCTGAGTAAAATGGCATTTTATATACACTTTGGGGTATCACAACCAGCACATCTGTTAACTTATGTACTGTATCAGCAGCTCAGCTGATGACTGCCCACTATGTGCCAAATGGTTTGTTTACTTTTTCTAATCCTTACTACTATCCCCACTGACAACAGCTCCTGGGCCTGGCACTGTGTCTTGCACTTCACACCCATTTTCTCTTTTAAACCTCATGACAAGCTCAGCAAAGGGCAGATCTAGAATCCCAAGCCAGACCTGTCCATCTCTGACTCCTACAATCTAACACATACCCTGGGCCATGGTCATCTCCTGGGGACGCAGAACAGGAGCCTGAGGGGGTGACGGCTGGGAAACAATCTCTCACTGCCCCATCAAAGATCCACTTATAGCCCAGTTTCTGACATGGTCCTGGACATCTGAATGCACAGATGAGATCCGCACTTTCAAGCTTAACTCTAATCCTCCATGTTAATAAACACAAACCATCTTGCATCATGCAAGCAGTCCAGTTACTTAACCATGCTCATTTGTAGGCATTAGCCATCTGTCAAAACAGCTTTCTCAACTAAAGGTGTCCAGGGTCCTGTCCTATGGCATTTCTCAGTAACAGTCTCTGAAATCTGGCAACTAAGACCAAAAGGAGTTCCAGAAAGAAATCTTGGCAGATTTAAGTATAGCATGATGACAAGCTAGGCTTACAATCCTCAAAAGGACTTCAGTCTGACTGCCTAGCTGCACAAACAACAGTGCAGAAGCTAAAGAAGCCAGGTGACATGCCCAAGATCAAAGTTCTGGCAAACCACTACCCTCTTCATTCACCTCAGTCCAAAAATGTTTCCACAACTAGAGAGTAACACTGGGTGTTCTAGAATAAAGATTCAGAGTAAGAAAAAAAAAAAGATCCAGAGTGAACGAATGGAGCTACTTACCATTAGGCTGTGAGGTAAAACAACTACACTTTATAAAGATTCAAAGGCTCCATGTAACTTTTCTACTGAAAAAGAAAAAATCCTCAAAAGCCCACTTTTAAAAAAATCAGCCATGTAAAATTACAGTCTGTAAAAGGAAATATTCTAACATGCACTGCCTCCGAAGAATGAAGGGGGAGGAAGGAGACATATACCTGATTTGATAATTTAATCTTGAGGGGAAAATGATCTCCATTCGGGAAAACAATGTCTCCCAGCTTATGAATAACCGGCACACATAGTTGCTGATGAACTGCTTCCTGCCTCAGGTGAAGAATGTGAGTGTTGCAAGACCAGTGACAACCTCCCACCATTATCAGCGTTCCTTCTCACAATCACTGCACCAGAACTCTCAAGGCCGCTGAACGTAAAGCAAGGACGACCAACAGACGAGAACAAGGAGGCTCCGCGCCACACGGAGACGGGCCTGAGCCCACGGCACCGCACGGAGACGGGCCTGAGCTCACAGCAAGCCGGGCAGGGCCTCTTGAGACTTCGAATCCCAGCTCCTTCCAGAACTCCATGGCCTCCAGCAGGACGCTTCTATCAACTCCTCTTCTGGAGATACCGGATGGCACACCAGAGTCCACTGGTTTGAAACGGTTTGGTTATATGAGTTCTGAGGGGTCTTTTTAGAAAACCAAACAGGGAGGATTTCCACAGGCCACCTTCCTGCATCCAGTCTCTGGGTCTGACAGATCTGGTTTCAGCTAGGTGTGTTCTTGGCAATAGGGCTGACAAGCTTTACTAACTTTTGGCCAAATTTGCCAAGAGCAAATGCTTTTATTAGCAAACAACCCTCAGGAACAATTATAGTCAGGAAATTTTCTTTCCTAGTCACAGAAGAAAATATGAGCTGTATTAAGCAAAATGAAATATACACAAAAAAGAAACTTGCAGAAACAAAAAACTTACTAACCCTCCTTGGATTGCTTGAGTGAAAAATAATAACACTACTCTTCAAATTTTCTCTCCAACACAGAAGTAACAGAGTTCAAATAAAGAAATGCAAAGCGGTGTCTACATTCCAAAACAGCGAAGGGTTCAAGTTGTTCAGAACATAAGGGCAAATGAAACGTAAAAAAAGAGTATTTGAGGGGAGTCAACATAAACGATAAATTTTTTATATGTGAAGATTATATCAGTTACCAAGGGCTGTCAGACTGGGCTGCTGCACTCCAAAAATGTTTCTCACTCTAAGTTGCCAAGCCTAACCTCCTACTCTGCTCAAAACAACTAAAAATCTAATAACAACAGGCACTTCTAGCTATTTGACCCAGAACAGTTTACTTTACCTCTATAAATTTCAATTTTCTCTAAAGTAAAATTAAAGTAATGCCTCTAATAAGGACCAAAAAAGACATACATTTCAGTGTTTCATAAAGCAGGAAACTATATGATTCAAGCCTTTTTTTTTTTCCCAAGCCTTTTTATAATCATTAAACTACAACAGGCACTGATGGTAGCGCTGATTAGGACCGTGGTCTGTGAGGTCCGGGAGTTCACAGTTCTGCGTCAGGCCAGAGTTCACAAATGGTCCCAAATGAAGACACAAAAGGGCATGGCAGAAGTCTCAGAGCTGGTGGCCTCCCCATTTCCTCACACACAGCAGGCAGTCAGCTGTGGATCTGAGGATCACAACAAACCATGGCTGAAGGATTAACCAGGGTAATTGAAAAAGAGAAGCTTTTCGGCCTCCAACACTGAATCCTGACAGACGCTGGATGTTGGGATTACTTCTGGACCTAAGGAGAACACACGGCTGTAAAGCTAACATGGAGAAATTCTCAAGTTCTCTGCACCTTCCCATCCAGGGAAAACCTCATTTCTTATCCCTTTCTGGTGAGAAGAGACATTGCTACACACCTTGATAAATGATTTACTACCCTTTATGGCCAGATCCCTGGCTGGGAAAAATCTGGCCAAAAAATGCTGGGAAACAACATAGACAGCTTTTAACAAGGTCTATCTACCTGTGGAAAGAAGAGGATGAACATAGTCTGAAGAGACGTCAGAGACCTTTCTCCTCGCCACGCAGCAGCACAGGGCTTAGATGAAGAACAGGGCTTCTGAGTCAGACAGACCACTGGGGCACTCACTGCCGAGACCACGGTGAGGGCATTAAAGGTGACACACACACAGTTTCTGGCACTGAGTCTGGCATAGAGCAGGCCAACTTAATAGCAGCTAATCCTACCAAGTACTAAGAGCCTTCTGCAGGCTCCAGGATGAGGTCACGCTAATCCTCCTCATCTCTTCTCTCCATCTGTCATTAAGCCATGAATAACATATGTTGCTGATTAAAGTTGGAGGAGACATGACATGTGATCTTTAACCCAGAGGGATGGGGATTATTTTCTTGCTGTTTTGTTTTTTTCTCTTTTCTAAGCTGAATTTCCAATATAGTCAAAAGCATCAGAATAATTGAGGGTATTAAAAAAAAAAAAAGTATCTCTATTTAGCCTGAAGACCAGTTCCCCCTAAAAGGCACCCTTTATGGAAGGAATTCTTCTAATTTAATTTTGGGTGCATTTTAAAGGGTAGAAACAAAATGTTGAGAGGACAATTAAACTTTTAGTCAAAAAGTAAATATCCCAGGACTCTCTTAAAAAGGGTTTGGTTTTGTTCTTTTTAAGCGACTCTTAAATATCAGAGGTATTTTCTGCCATTTTCTTCCATATTTTTCTAAAGGAAATTTGACAAAGAGCTAAATACTTATAAAAGTGACTTTGAAAACTGCTTTATTTTCATTTTATTAATTCTCCAACCAAAGTTTTTCACTTGCAATTGAAGGGCCTGCCTAATATTTAAGAGCTTACCAGTGGCCTCCGCCCGGGACACGGAAGAAAAGAGCACCACATGGCAGGACGGCAACCGCTCAGCCTGCAGCCCTGGGCCTCCGCCTCACATCCTCCTCCCATCACCTCTGCCGTCTGCCCTGGCCTGTGTGCGCGCATGCTCACTCACTCAGCGGGGTCTGATTCTCTGTGACCCCGTGGACTATAGCCTGCCAGGCCCCTCTGTCCATGGGATTTTTCAGGCAAGAATACTGGAATGGGTTGCCACTTCCTCCTCCAGGGGATCCTCCCGACTCGGGGATCAAACCCACATCTCCTGTGTCTCCTGCACTGGCAGGCGGCTTCTTTACCACTGAGCCACCTGGGAAGCCCTACTCTGGCTCCCCCCATCCTGAAACTTAATGCTGTGCTTGTGGTTTAGACTCTCTAAGTATTGAATGGTTACATGCAAAGGGGAACTAGATGATCACATGTGTGGTTTTAGAAAGCAAACTATGATTGTGGTATGGAAGACGGGTGGGCAGGGGCTGGACTGGAGGGAGGAAAACAGTGAGAAGACGACTCTAAGAGCTGAGCAGAGAAATAATGACAGGAATTACTGCAGTGCAGCACGGGGAGAAGAAAAAGCAAGAGGCGGGAGAAGGAAGAGAAGCCAGGACTGACTGACTAGGAGCTAAAGGGAAACAAATGATTTCCAGGGGTCTAGCTTGGGACACTGGGCCAGGAGGGTGAGAGCGTGAGCCTGCGGGAAAGTGCACACATGCTCCATTCATCGAGAGAAGAAATACAGGAAGAGGAGGTCAAAAGGTGTGGGGGGCGGGGGCGGTAAAGGGGGAGGATAAACTCCACCAGAGCCATGCTGAATCTAACCCTACAGAGAAGCAATGGCCAGAACGGTGGAGGACACGGGGGAGACAAAGAGCTGCCAAGTCAGATCCCCAAGTCCTACAGAAGGACGACATTTCTCCAATCCTTCCTTTTCCCTAAGTCCATAGTAACTAGGATCAAACTGTTGAGGTTTCCTTTCACTTATAATATGGATGGTCTAGCAGTCTTTTTAAGTAATGACCGTTTCTGGCTTGTCTGAGGTCAGCCTTTAGAACCCACTTTACATCTCAAACCCAGAAACTAACCTACCCAAGTTCAACCCTCGTTTACTCACCAGCTGGATCTCAACAGCAGTCACAGGCCTGTGATTCAGCAGCTGAAGCTTTTCAGCTCTGTCAAAAGAGAAGTACAGAGCCTTCAAAACTCTTATACGCCTAAGGATTTTGAGTCTTCACCACGCAGTTTAGAGAACACTTTGTCAGATAACACATGGAAGAACAACTTGGAACATGGCCCTCAGTTTCTTCAACTGTGAAATGAAAGAATGAGAATGGGAGAGTCCTGGATCACTGACTCTTACTCAAGAGCACAAACATGGATTAGAATCCTAAAGGGTCCGGAGGCTTGGGTTATAAGAAATGTAACAGAGAGTACCGCTGCAGTTTTAATAAATTGTATTTGGGAAATCTTAATTCAAATTATAGTAAAGATTGACAAAAATCATCTTGGTTGTTCGTCACTTACAAACAGTTGAAAATTCCTTTTTGAGGTTAAGACTAAATGTTACTCAGACTTGACCTGTTACCTTAGTAAACAAAACCAAAGACTCTAAGGAGGCAGCAGGTAATACACGGTAGTATAAGACAAAGTTTTCTGCCCTCAAAGAGCTTATAATCCAGTTGGGAAAAGAGGACAAATAAAAGCAAATTTTACAAATAAAAGCAAATTTTAACAAAAAATTCACAATGAAGACACCAGTTATCTGCCCCAAGACAAAATATAGCTCATTGCTGCAGGGGTGCTTGAAATGCATGTACTCTCAAAGATGACAGAATTTGTGAGAGGTAGGCTCAAGAGGGAGGGGACACATGTGTACCTACGGCTGGTCCACACTGATGTATTGCAGAAACCAACACAACATTGCAATTACCTGTTAACTAAAAATAAATAATGTTTTTTAAAAAAGCTAAGACTTGGGAAAAAGTGGCTTCAATGATTGCCACCCCTGTGCAGGTGACAATTTCCACATTTCTCTCTGACCCTGGAGCTCTACAGCTTCCTCTTTTGAATTCAATTCAATAAACATATTCTGGAATAAAGTGATGAATAAGCCACAACTTCCAGAGTCAGGTGTCTGGGGAAGCAGTAGTTACCCAGCTCTCCCTAAGCCTTGGTTTCATCACCTGTCAAACAGGAATGGCTACAGTACTTACCTGTCTCATGAGGAGGTTACAAGAGACAAAAATTTTACCATTTAGAGCGAGAGTGGCAACCACTTATTGCTTACTTCCCATATGGCAAGCACATTTAACCCTCAGACTTGACGCTGAGACGGTAAAGAAATAATTTGTCCATGGCTACACAGCTAGTAAATGGCAGAGCTGAGACTGCTATTCTAGCTTATGTCCTGAACCGTCTGCTTCCAAAAGTACTCAGTGTTCATAAAGACGACTCACACAGTCATTTCCCCATAAACGGCAGCAGGATTAAGGCAATGCTGTCAAGTTCTACCCCTCACAAGCCCCCAGACATGCACTCTAGCCTTGAAGGAGGGCATGGCAGCCCACTCCAGGATTCTCGTCCAGAGAATCCCACGGACAGAGGATCCTGGCGGGCTACAGTCCCTAGGATCGCCAAGAGTTGGACATAACAATGCTCTTTCTTTTTCAGAGAGAAGGCTCTTGTACTGGGTTCTTAAGGATTTTCTAGGCAAAAAGGATGAGAGGAAAGGGCAGTCAGGGCAGGAACAGCACATGCAAGCATCCAGAAGAACAAACATTCATGGAGTTTTAGGAAATGACTGCAAGAGAGGCTGTGGGACTCAGGCTGAAAGAGTCAACTGGGACAAGACCACAAGGGGCCTGCACTACGAAGACACTCCTCCAGAGACACTGCAGAGCAACCAAGAAAAGGAGGGGACTTGCTGCGTCTGGAAAGCCTGGGAAAATGGAGGCAGAGACACTGTATAAAACCCCCGGATGAGAGAAAACAAAGCTGTGTACTTACGTGGTGGCGGCAGCAACAGCAGGGATGGCCATGAGAGTCTTGAGCTGCCCCTGGTCACCCTCAGGTACAGTCAACAGGCCCTGACGACCGCCTAGGCTGGGGGTGTGGGGGTGTGAAAGGAAGGGGAGAGCTAAGGTTTCCTGTCAGGTGTTTAGCCTGTCTGGAAATACTGTATTAACTGAAATCTGAATTTGAGTTTGTGGTACTTTTGGAGCCACAATGAAGAACTCACCCAACAGTTTCTCTAGTCTTAGTTCTAGCTTGGTCTAGAACTGGAGAAAAAGATCAGAGCCGGCTTTATTATGAAGGAGTTATGTGAAACCAGGAGAGTGGATATCACAGTCCAGAGGCCAGTTGCAGAGGAAGTGAAGTCCCACGGCAGACACTGTAAGGCACCTCTACTCCCGGGGCTGGGAGAGAAGGCCGCACAGGAGAAAGGAAAAGTTCAGGACAGAGGCTATCATCAACCGTGTCAAATGTGGAGGAGAAGAAAGTAGGGTGATGGTAGAGAAGTCATTGGATTTGCCAAAACGGAGGGCACTGGTGGCCTGGTCAGGTAGCTCAGTAGAACGATAGTTAAGGTGACAACTGTACTGTGAGGACTGGGGAGTAACTGTGGAAGAAATTCCTTTTTCTTTGTAAAGCAATTCCATCACTTTATTCAAATCTTCCAAATAGTCTTTGATCTACACTTTTAGTAATAAAAACCCCACAAGACAGATGCACCACAGTACAGCTACAGACATACAACACAAGTTCCCCAACAGTCAAATATAGCATGTAGAGAGCACAAAATTTAGGTGAACTGAAATTATAAGATAAAGCAAAATCCAATTTTGGAAAACAAAAATTAAAAGATTAAGAACCCCAAAATATTCTTAGCCCTAATGAGCTTCACTGGACTCAAGTCATTTTGGAGGGAGGCATTCACAATATGACCCCATTAACCCAGCTCAGGAATTCTTGGAGCCACGAGTGGCCGCACCAGGCACTCTGACAATAAATGGTAACCAGTTTCTGATTTGAAAACTCTAGAAATTTGGCTCTAAATTAATTTTGCTCTAAAGTCACCAGGCTTTTGAAAGGCATCCTCTTTGTTGTCCTCATATTTTAAACTGTTTTCAGTATGGTTTATGTTGATATGCTTTGATACCAGACAAAGCTCAGTTTTTCTGGCACCAAAGCAAAACTGGGTTTGGTTCATGGATATGGAGACAGTCTCTGAAGAGGGTCCAAAGGCACTCTCCACTTCTGTCTAAGGAGATCCAAAGTAGAAGTAGTGGAGTTGGTGCTCAGGGCACAGAGCGGGTCTCAGAGGATCCTTGTGAAAGACTAGGTAAAAGATGACAAAGACTAGGTAAAAGATGACAAAGGAGCTTCCCTGGCCCTCCAGTGGTTAAAAGTCTGCTCAGTCAATGAGGGGTACACAGGTTCAAGCCCTGGTCTAGAAAGATTCCACACGACGCAGGGCAACTAAGCCCGTGCTCTGCGAAATGAGAAGCCCAAGCACCTAGAGAGGAGCCCCCACTCACCACAACTAGAGACAGCCCGTGTGCAGCAACGAAGACCCAGTGCAGCCAGAAATAAATAAATTTTAAGAAAGACAAGCGGGAGAAGAGCAAGCAGAAAAGGAAATGGGTCTGACTGCTTTCTGCCCTGCACCACAGAATCAATGGAGACCGCTGGGAGGGAACAATAGACTAGGGTTAAGGGTGGGATTAGGGCAAAGGGTGGAAAGGAAAGGGCAGACAACCAATGTGTTTCATTCATAACAAGCAATATAAATAAATATACATCAAAGACTTAGAGGAGATTAAAGATTAATCAGAATAATCTGGCAACTTTAATTAGAAGATCGAAGTCCTCTGCAAACCTAATGTCATGTGTTATCACTAAAAGCAAAGACCAGTATGGTACAGTATTACTCCACAGGAACTAAAGGAAGATCCCGANAAAGCAAAGACCAGTATGGTACAGTATTACTCCACAGGAACTAAAGGAAGATCCCGAGGGCTGCATCAGCCACATTCATTTTATTAACAGGTACCTCCTTCACATCAACCTTTAGGCAGGTACTGCCACCACAACACACACACCCCCTTATTAAGTTTGAAAAGTGACTTAATGTTCGCGCACCAGAAAGATATCCCAACAACACATGTCTAAAGCGCAACTGCAGGTTAACGTGACTGAAGAAGTTATGTTATTGTTGTACCCGGATGGCGGAATCCCACCAAACACCACAGGAGCCGCAGATCGATGCAAAAGCAGTGAGGAACTTTATTACATGCTCGAGCAGGGACTCCCTCCTCCCAACCTAATGCCATGCGGAGAGAGCCCCGAGTGATGGCGGCGATCTATTTTTACACCGTATAGTGGGGAAAGCGGGAAGCTTAAGGGGATTGGTTAGTTCTTCAACTAAGGATGTCTTGTTAGCTACTGATTGGTGGGTTAGAGTAAGGGGGTGAGGGACTTCCTGTCCTTTCCTGATTGGCTCGTTTAAATTTCTTTGTCTTTTCTCCTTCTTCGGGGAAGTTCAGCTCAAAATGGCGGTATTGTCTTAAAATGGAGTCGTTTGAATTTTACCTTTCACATTTCACAATTGTAAGAAGCTATGTGATGTCTTTGCCGGCACAGAGGTGACCTTGGTTCCTCACCAGATGGTGGAACCACCCTCTGAGCCGCCCATGGAGAATCTTCCCTTCTGCTGAATTACAAGGACCCAGGCTCCCTTCAGGACTGCAAGCTGAGCAGCACGGGCGGCCTCTCTGGCAGTGGAGGAGGAACGCTGCCAGCAGTAGCCTCGGTATCGAATCTGGCACCTGAATGATACCCTCCTCTCACCGGCACGAAGCCATGGGGACTGTGGAACCTAAAGGGCCAGCAGTCACAGACTAGGCCACAGGCGTATACCACGAGGTGCCAGGAAAAGCAGCGGACGCAGCAGGGGCTGGGGCAGCCCCTGGTGCATAAAGGTCAGACGACAGACCTCGCAGCAGGCAGGTCAGGCAATCAGACCAACCAAGCAAGTTCTCTGCTCTGCACCCCAGGAGCTGAGCCCAGCTGAAATCCAGTCACAGGACCACATGAACTGCAGGCACCATTTTTGGGGATGGGGGTTCCAAACATTCCCCCAACTTCAGAGGCTCATTTTTATCGTCTCTACTTTCTCTCCTTCAGTTAATTCACTGCACTTCAGCCCCTGCCCCAAATGATCACCAAAACTGCTCTCATTTGAGGGCCCAGAAAGCGCCACACCGATCACTCTAGAGGGCTTCTCTGCCCTGCCCTGCTCTGCTCTGCTCTGTCTCTGTGGCAGCCGGCACTGCTGGTCACTCCCTCCTTAAAACTACCCGCCCTTGCAGCCTCCACACACCATTCTTCCCTGATTCACCTATCTTTCTATTCCCTCATCTCTATCCAGGTTTCCTCTTCCGGTTGCCTCTGTGGCATTCCCGTGGTATCATCTTTCATCCTTACTGAGTTCTTCATCCAAACCTCACAATCTCATCTGCTGTTACAGGTTAGAACCAAGAAATTCATGTCTTAATGCAGTGAGAGCTGATCTCCAGACCTTTGTAACCAACTGCCACCTAAACACCCCAGACATACCTCAAACTCAACCTATCCCAAAGCAATCTACCTTTCCCAACAAACCAATTCTCTCTCCATACCTCTCATCTTGGTGAAGAGCCAAATACACAGGCCAGAATCATCCTCGACTCCTCCCTCTCACCCACAGCCCATATTAAGACACCAAGAATTACTGATTCTGTTCCTTTCAAGGTGTCTGTCCCCAGCCCCACCCTTACCATTTCTACAAGCCACTTCAATTCTTCTTGGCTAAAGGGCAAATGCCTCTGTTCTCAAGCGTCTGCCACTTTCAGTCTACCTTCATTCTTACAAATAAAGTACATTTTAAAAGATAAAAATCTGGTCATCTCATTATCCTGCTTCTAATCTTTCCACTGTCCGCACAGTTTTTAAACTTTTTTAGTTCAACCTTCAGAACCCACTGAAATCTGGTGCTTGTCAGTCTCTCTAGGTTCAGATGCCTTCATGTCCCCTATGCATTCATATTCCAATTAAATGAAACTGCAAACATTACATAGGAACTACTCCCTGATTCCAGGCCCTAGCATATCATGTTCCCTCTGCTTAGAAAGGATGTGCTCACTTATATCTAGCTGACTATTACCTTAAATGAAAACCCAGTGTCACCTCCCACAGGCAAAATGATACACTCAAATTCTGACACTTCAGTGTCTCTCTGCTATGTCCCAACTGCCACAGCACTTACACTGTAGCTATTCATCTTTGAATAGCTAACGACTAAGACAAACCTGGCATGAAATAAATACGAGGTGAAAAACAAAGAGCTAGAGTAGCACTGACTTGCAGATGTTCCAGAGAGGAACTGTTGGGACAGTGGGGAGACAAGGGGAGAGATTCCAGGCTCTCTAAGCAGATAGAGTAACCACATTCCAGATGTTAGTGAAACCTGCATCCATCTATCTACTTTGAGCTTTGCTGCCTCCAGATTACTCTTGGACTTTGACACCCAGAGTCAAATAAAACATGGTTTCTATCAAACCCTCAAGCTTTAGCAGTGGAGGTTTTTAAGCAAATTAATGGAGCTCCAGTTTGTGTTACTAGAACAGGGTCACTGAGGGGCTATTATCTTGAATCTCCTCTTCCTGAGAAAAGGATAAGAGAAATACTCTAGCAGGGGATATTCAGAAAAAAGAATTAAAGAGCATTTCAGCACTTTCTGCTACACACGTGATTCCTGTCTTAAAATGCACTGGCTAGCACAAGTGATCCAGGTCTTCATAGTACGTGGCAAGCAGCCCCCTGAGTCATAAGGCACTGAGGCCAGATGAATTCCAATGGGCTGCAAATAGTTTGCCTGCTTCCAGAGGAGCCAGACCCAGCTACAGTGAAAGGAGCCTGCAGCCCCCTCTACTGGTTGTTTCCAGAACAACACTGCCTGGAGCTCTTGCAAGGGTATCTGTCAGAACCCAGGCATGTTCACGCGTCTCGGGAAACAACCTTAAATGAAAAGCAGACACTAAAGGGTCAAGAAGGAGATTACAAATCCGGTGTTCATTCCCCCCTCCACCTTTTTTTTTTCTTTTCCCCCAAAGCTCATATGTAGGGAAAATCAGAGAGAGGCTGTGCATGCCTAGGGAAAGAGGCACACTCAGAGAAGACCTGAGAAGACCTTGAGTTTACACCTCAAGCTGATTCTCAGCACAGAAACAGCCCACTACAATACAAAAACAGTAAACACTAAACAAAAGTCAGAAAGCCTAGGGAAAGGAAGAAAATCTGACTTTGAGCTATGATTTTATTAGATCAAATATCCAGTTTTCAACAAAGAACTCAAAAGGTAAACAAAGAAACAGATAAGTATAGCCCATGCAAATACATAAACAAATTAACAGAAAATGTCTCTGAAAAAAACCTGAAAGTCTACTAGACAAAGGCTTTAAAACAACCTTCTCAAAAATAAATAAAACATTAAAGATGCTTCAAGAATTAAAAGATGTGGAGAAAGTCAAGAAAACAATGCATGAACAAAATGGAAATATCAATAAAGAGACAGAAAGAAACAAAAAGAAATTCTACAATGACTAACATGAAAATGACTAGAGGGATTCAAACACAGATCTGAACAGGCCAAACAAAAAATCAGTAAACTTGAACAGAATAAAGGATTAAAGAGAAGTGAATAAAGCCTAAGGGCTTGGTGGAACACCATGAAATGAAACAACATACACATTTTGGAAGTCCCAAAAGGGACTATGTGACCATCAAGAGACGAATGGTTAACGAAGATATGGTGTGTACACACACACACACACACACACACTATGGAATATTACTCAGCCATAAAAAGAATGAAATAATACCATTTGCAACAACATGGATGGACCTAGAGATTATCACACTAAGTGAAGTAAGTCAAAGACAAATATATCACATGTTGTATCACATATTATATCACATGTGGAATCTTAAAACAAAAAAAAAGGCCCCAAATAAACTTATTTACAAAACAGAAAAAGACTCACAGACACAGAAGACAAATTTATGATCACCAAAGGAAGGGAGGGGTAAATTAGGAATTTGGGGTTAAGAGATACACATTCACTATATACCAAAAAAATAAACAACAAGGACCTCTTATACAGCACAGGGATCTATATTCAATATCTTGCAATAACCTATAATGAAAAAGAATCTAAAAAGAATATATATATATGGATAACTGAATCAATACACCTGAAAGTAACCCAACACTGTACATCAACCACACCTCAGTTTAAAACTTACTTTGTCTTTAAAAAAACAACAATAAAAACAAAGCCTTAGGAATATGCAGAAAAATTATCAGAGTTCTAATAGCTGCGTCTTTAGAGTTCTGGAATGAAAGGAGGAAGAGACGGGGGCAGAAAAAAACGTTTAAAGAAATAATGGCCCAAAACTTCACAAACTGGGGTAGGAAATAAAAATTTACATAACCAAGAAGTTCAGCAAAGATAAACTTGAAAAAAAAATCATAATCAAATCATTCAAAGACCAAATATAAGGAAAAGTATTGAAAGCAGTCACAGGACTTCTTTTTTAAACATCTTTCAAGAGCTGGAAGAAAAGATCATTCAACCCCATGAAACTATCCTTCCAAAATGAAAGAATATATATAACATTCCCATTTGAAACAAAACTAAGAAAATTGTAGCCAGCAGGCCTGTTCTGAGTGAAGTGTGAGTAGAAGCTCTTTAGGCTGAAGTAAATGCTAAAAAGGAAACATGAACAGGAATGAATGATGAGCAAAAGAAATAGTAAAATTCTAGGTAAACAAGAAAAACTATTTTTGTCCTCTTAATGTTCTTTAAAATATGTATTGGGTTGGCCAAAAAGTTTGCTCTGGGTCTCCCATAACATCTTACAAAAAACTGGAACTAACTTTTTGGCCTACCCAATAGTGTTGGTGAGGATGTGAAGAAATAAGAACCCTGTGCATTGCCGGTGGGAATGTAAAATGAGACAGCCACTATGGAAAACAGTATGGTAGTTTCTCAAAAAATGAAAAATAGAATTACCTAAGATCTAGCAATTTGGCTTCTGGGTATATACTCCAAAGAGCTGGATGCTGAATCTCCAAGAGGTATTTGTACACTTGTGTTCACAGCAGTACCATTATGCCTAACAGCCAAAAGGCAGACACCACCCAAATATATACACTAATGGATAAATGAATAAACAAAATGTCATATATACATAAGATGGAAGAGTATGCAGCCTTCAAAAGGAAGGAAACCTGACACACACTACAACATTAATGAACCCTGAAGACGTTATAAATGAAATAAGCCAGTCACAAAAGAACAATACTGTATAATTCTCCTATGAAGCACTTAAAGTAGCCAGAGATACAAAGCAGACTGGTGGTTTCCAGAGGGAGAAGGGAGGATGGGGAGTCACTGTTTAATGGGTATACAGTTTTAGTTCTGCATGATGAAAACCCATCCTTTGAATGGATGGCAGAGATGGTTGTACGACTGATTCTATCTAATGCCACTAAACTGCACACTTGTAAATGGTTAAAAATAGGGCTTCCCTGCTGGTCCAGTGGTTAAGAATCCACGTGCCAATGCAGAGGACATGGGTTTGATCCATGAAGCAGAAAGATCCCACATGTCTCAGGGCAACGAAGCACATGTGTCACAATTACTGAGCCCACGCACCTAGAGCAACAGGAGAAGCCACCGCAATGAGAAGCCCACACACAACATGAAAGTAGGCCCTGCTCAGAGCAACTCGAAAAACGCCTGTGCACAGCCACAAAGACCCAGCACAGCCAAAAATAAACAAACAAATGTTTTTTTAAAAATGGTTAAAATAAAAATACCACAATATTAAAAAATATTCAGATTTTGTAAAAAGACATACACTATATGATTCTATTTATATGAGGTATTAAGAGTAGTCAAATTCATACAAACAGAATGGTGGTGTCAGGGGCTAGGTTAAGTAGGAAACGGGGAGTTGTTTAATTGGTACAGTTTGTTTTACAAGATTAAAAAGTTCTGGATGTTGACTGCACAACAGTGTGAATATTATACTTAATATAAATGAACTTTAGACTTAAAAGTGGTTGAAATGGTACATTTTATGCTATGTTTATCACAAAAGTAAAACTATAAATAAACATACATAAACACATACAGGCACACATTTGAAAAACATTTGTCTTCATAGAGAAGAGAAGCAAGGGAGAAGGGCACTAGTTTACTGACAATGCATCAGCTGTGTGCCTGAAACAATACCAAATGTTTCCTCCAAAAGAAAATTTCTGATTATTCTGAAGGAATGACAAATGCCTTTTTTGGATTTATCAGCTGTGTTATTAATTCTAAAAGACTAGGGCTAGTTTTTTCTCATGGAAACTCTTGCTCTAATTCTTAATGATGCTTTTAATTTCTACAAACTTAACTTATTCAGGAAAGTCATCAAGAAAGTAACTGTACACAAGAAGAGCAGACAGAATATTATCAAGCCATTTTTGCCCCACAAACACAAATGTCCAATGACTTAATTTACCAACTTGATCAAAACCTCGTAATTTTTAAATCCCATTTTTCAACTAATTTAGTCTGAATGTTGAGAAGAGGTTAAGGGACAGATTTGGAGGAGATTTTTTGAGATTAAAAAGCCCACTGTGTTCTATTTCTGGCTCTAGAAGGATCCCAGGGTGTAAGTCTCAGTTGTCTTATATATAATCCTAGGATCCTACTGTAAAAGAGCACTGCATATTGATTATAATTCAAAACCCAACTAAATATAAATACACAGTTGCAAAGGATGACTTTTGCAAGCTATCATTTTCATTATATGTCAGTCTTTCCCCACTTAAGATTATTTTTACTTACTTGGTCAACTTGTGGTTTTTCATTGCTGTCAGAAATTCTCTCACAATCTCAGGACTCTGGTGCCTGCATGGTGTTTTTGATATGTATTTTAATGTCTATGGAAAAAAAGGAAAAAGCAAGCATAAGACAAACAGCTCTGAACGAACTATAGATGAACTAAATAAAGTAAAAGATCATGATAGATTTAACTGTAGGATTCTAAACACATAATTAAATGAACAAAATCAGATGGGAATGGTGACAAAAGTGTTAAATCCCTTATTTTCCTTAAAAGAGATTATGATGACTTAAGGCAAGTTTTTTAATGTCTTTGAAAAGATAAATTAAAAGACAGATCCAAATCTTTATAAAACAAAATGAAAACGGAAAGTAAATAAATAACAAGAAAAAATATATTAAAATGACAGATACAAAATCAAACATGTAACAGCTTAAATGCTCTTTTTTAAGAACAAAGCATATGAACGGGAGAGAATGCAACAAACTATCAATTAGATACTAAGATTACAAACTACTTTTGATATTTTCTTTATACATTTTGGTACTTTCTAAGTTTTTTACCATAAAAAAGTATCACTTCCGCTGTAATAAAGAATTTGTCTCTGCCAAAACAGATGATCTGGACTTTGCCCTCTGCTTCCAGGAGGTAGTCTTCATACGCCTGAAACATTACACCTAATAGGAGTATCTTTGTCTGGGAGCCTGACGTCCTACTGCCTAGTCTTAGTAATAAGACTGAGAGCAGGGGCTTTGGGTCAGCAGTATCAGCCGACCTGGAGGCTGACAAGAACTACACAGGCAGTCAGTCACTCAGTCGTGCCTAGGTAATGGAGTCCCAGTAAAAACTGGACACCAAAACTTGGTGGAGCTTCCCTGGTTGAAAATGTTCTGAGTGTATTAACACACGCCGACTTCGAGAGAAGCATGTTCTAACTCCACATTAGAGAACGATGAAAGCTCTGCCTATGATATTTCTCCTGGCACCTGCCCCAACTGCTCTGTCCCTAGGCCAATTTTAATCTGTATCTTTTCCTTGTGATAACCTATACCTGTGAATATAATAGCTTTTAGCAAGTTCTATGAGTACTTTCAGTGAATTATTGAACCTGAGGGTTCTCTTGGGGCGCTCTGACTTGCAATTGATATTAGAAGGGCGGGCAGGTTTTTGATTATTCCCTCTTCTAAACTTTACAGTTGGCCAACACTTGACTTGCCCAACAACTTGGCCAACAATTGCCCAAACTCTTTCCACTTCTATAAACAGAATAAAAACTGAGTTACAGTAAAACTACTCAAATCAGATAATGGATAGTCATGATTCGGTGGCCAGTCAGCAGCAAGATAAACCAACCCCCTTTAATAGTAGTTTGGACAGACCCTCTGGAAACGTAGACTTACTTCATATGTGATAGTATTCAAGTTCTGTTGCCCAGAACTATGTTTATTCTTTCCACTTTCTTTACGCTGCTCTTTCAAATCAGTTAGTAACTGGAACACCTAGGAAGAGAAATACAAAAAATTTTCATAAATAAATTTGAGAAATGTATCTATTCCAAGGTCAATGATCTTGAAGGATAAATAGAACATCTCTTTCTTCTCATAAACCCTCCCCCAAACTCTTGCATTAGAGCAAATGAATCTGAAAAGCATTTGACTTTTTAAAGATGTTCTTTTATCTAAGTCAAACAGAATAAATTCAATTGTTTACAAAAACTATTTCAAGTGTTTCCTATCAATATAAACCATAAAACTCTAAACAAGGCAGGCAGAGTGAGAATGTACCTCAACACAGTAAAGGCCGTACATGACAAGCCCAGAGCTAACATTGTACACAACAGTGCAAAGCTAAAAGCTTCTCCTCTAAGATCAGGAATAAAACAAGGATGCCCACTCTTGCCCCCTTTATTCAACTTAGTACTGGAAGACCTAGACAGGGCAATCAGTCAAGATAAGAAATAAAAGGCATCCAAAGGGATGTAAAAAGGAAATAAAACTGTCATTATTTGTACATTACGTGGTATTATTTATAGAAACTCCTAAAGACTCCACCAAAAAACTGTTAGAACTAAGAAGTGAATTCAGTCAAGTTGCAAGATACAAGGCCAACATACAGAAATCTGCTGTGTTTCTATACACTAATTAAAAAAAAAAACAATTCTAATCATTATAATTGCAACAAAAAAGACAAAACACCTTGGAAAAAATTTAACCAATGGGGCAAAAGACCTGTCCAGTGGAAACTATAAGACACTGATGAAAGAAAAAGTCAAGACACAAATGCTCGTGGATTAGAAGAATATTGTTAAAGTCTTTGTACTAACCAAAGCAAACCAGATTCAGTGTCAGTTCAGTTCAGTTCAGTCACTCAGTCGTATCCAACTCTGCGACCCCATGAATCGCAGTACGCCAGGCCTCCCTTTCCATCACCAACTCCCGGAGTTTACTCAAACCCATGTCCATCAAGTCAGTGATGCTATCCAGCTATCTCATCCTCTGTCGTCCCCTTCTTCTCCTGCCCCCAATTCCCTCCCAGCATCACGGTCCTTTCCAATGAGTCAACTCTTCACGAGGGGTCCAAGTACTGGAGTTTCAGCTTCAGCAGATTCAGTGTAATTCCTATCAAAATTCCAATTGCACATTTCACAGAAATAGAACAACCCTAAAATTTGTATGGACCACAAAACACCCAGAATAGTCAAAGCCATCTTGGAAAAGAACAACAATGCTAGAGGCATCACACTCCCCGATTTCAAACTATATTACATAACTATAGTAATCAAATCAGTACAGTACTCACCTAAAAGAGATACAGAGATCAACGGAACAGAATAGAGTCCAGATATAAATCCACACATTTACAGTTAATTAATTTATGAAAAAAGAGCCAAGAATATACAATGGGGAAAGGATAGTCTCAGTAAATGGTGTTGGGAAAACTGGACAGCCATACGGAAAAGAATGGAACTAGATCACTACATATACCATGCACAAAAATTAACTCAAAATGGATTAAAGACTTGATGGAAGATCTGAAACCACAAAACTCCCAGAGAAAACACAGGCAGCACGTGCCTTGACACTGGTCTTGGCAATGAATTTTGGGATTCAGCACCAAAAGGTAAGGCAACAAAGGCAACAATAAACAAGTGGCACTACACCAAACTAAAAAGCTGTTGTGCAGCGAAGGAAATCATCAGCAAAATGCAGGTTACTGAATGGGAGAAAATTTCTGCAAGTTATGTAGCTGATAAGAGGTTAATATTCAAAATATGTAAATTCATACAACTCAAGAGCAAAAAGATAAATAATCCAATTTAAAAATGGGGATTTTCCCAAAGAATACATACTGATGATCAACAGGTACACAAAAAGATGTTCAACGTCACTAATCATCAGGGAAATGCAAATCAAAACCACAATGAGATTATCACCTCACACCTGTTACAATGGCTATTATCAAAAAGTCAAGAAATAAGTATTGGTGAGGATATGAAGAAAAGGAAGCCATTGCATATGACGGCTGGGAATGTTAACTGGTGTAGCCGCTATGGAAAACAGTGAAGGATCATCAAAAAGTTAAAAACACAACTACCGTGTGATTCAGCAACTCCACTTCTGGATAACTAACCAAAGAAAACAAAAATACTAGTTTGAAAGGATATATGAAGCATTATTTATAAAATCCAAGGTAAGGAAATAACCTAAAGTGCCCATTTACAGATGAATGGATAAGGAAATGGAAAATGTGGCATATATTTGTGTGTGTGTGGGTGTATATAAATACAGATACATGCACACATACATACCAACAGAGGAATATTATTCAGTCATAAAAAATGGAATCTTGCCAACTGCAACATGAATGGAATTTGAGGGCATTATGCTAAGTGAAATAAAGCAGAGAAAGATAAACACTCTATGATCTCACTTACATGTGGAATCTTTAAAAACAACACAAAACCAAAAATCAAGCTCAAAGACACAAAGAACAGATGGATGCCAGAGATGGCAGGGAGGGGGACAAAATAGATGAAAGTGGTCAGAAGTTACAAACTTCCAATTATAAAATAAACAAACCATGGGGGTATAATGTACAGCATGGCAACTCCAGTTACTACTCTACTGCATATTTGAAAGTTGCTAAGAGTAAATCTTAAAAAGTTCTCATCACAACAGACTTTTGGACACTGTGGGAGAAGGCGAGGGTGGGATGTTTCGACAGAACAGCATCGAAACATGTATATTATCTAGGGTGAAACAGATCACCAGCCCAGGTTGGATGCATGAGACAAGTGCTCGGGGCTGGTGCACTGGGAAGACCCAGAGGGATCAAGTGGAGAGGAAGGTGGGAGGGGGGATCGGGATAGGAAACACATGTAAATCCATGGCTGATTCATGGCAATGTATGGCAAAAACCACTACAATATTGTAATTAGCCTCCAACTAATAAAAATAAATGGGGGGAAAAAAAGTTCTCATCACAAGAAAAATGAATTATATAACTATGATGTTAATTAACTACTTATTGTGGAAATCATTTTGCAACATACACAAATATCAAATCATTATGTTGCATGCCTGAAACTAATATAATGTATTTGATTGTAACTGAATTAAAAATTTTTTCCTAAAGCATTTTTTTTTAAAAAAAGCATCTTGCTTCTTCTCCAGCATGAAAATCTATTTTATTTCTGGAAAAAAAAAATTATGAGGCAAGTGATAAAAGTGGTTTACCAAAAAAAAGGGGGGGGTGTGGGTAGAAATGCTATAGAACTTTAAAAGTAAACTTCTCCCACAAGGAAGAAACACATGTGTATTAGTGCTAAGAAGGGTCAGGAGAGGAAATCTCTCTACTTTAGAGATTATACCATAAAATTGTGAGAAGCATAGTATCACAGACATAGTAATGACTAGATACAATGCAACCTGTCCCCTGCCTGTTGGTCCTTTCAGAAATAGTGGCTTGATACCCCATTAATGCAATGTTCCCAAATGGATAAAACACTAAACACCTTGTCCAGAGGTCTAACTGGACAAGGAGATTTCTAAAAGCCAATGGCTTAACCATTTTCTTCCTGTTATGAGTAGAACCCATTTAAGATGAACCTTTAGGAAGGAAAGAATATGGCCCACTGTGTTAATTCTACTACCTTCTACATATATCACACAATAAAGACTTAAATCTCCTCTAAGTCTTCCTGAGTTTAGACCTTGACATAAAAAAAAACTGACGAATATATGAATTGTTCTTTCTGTACCCAGAGTTAACCTATCAGACGGTTTTGCTATTACCCAGGTACAATAGAAAGCAGGCAGAAAGAATGTTTTATCTCCCTTGATCAACCTTTTTCCTTCCTTCCTTTCTTTCCTCAGCAACCCAACCCTCAAGCCCCCAAATTCCAAATCTGTTAGTTCCTACTAATTACTCATAATGGTGAGTCAACTAAACTCTCACTTCCAAAATGAAGGTAGTAATACCTATGAGACCATTATGAGGATCAAATAACTTGCAAGAGCATTTTACAGGTAAAGAGTGTTAATTTGGAAAAGGCATACATTTTTTAATGGAAAATTTTTACAAACAGACACAGTTCCAAAATAGATGTTTCCATCCTATGAAGGCATCCCAAATGAAGATCTAAAATCTCTGGCATTTAGAGATGGTTGCCTACATGAACTTAAAACCTTCTCAGCTTTCCTGAATTATTGTGTGTGATTTACCAAGCTAAGAGTATTCCAAAGTCCACTAGATGGTGCCACCTCTCTTATTTTAAATGGCAAATCCCAATGAATTCCGCCATTTCTAACCAAAACTAATTGAAGAGCCTTCAGAAGCTGACGGCAAACAATTACAGAGGAAAACACAACAGTCTAAAACAATTTACCTCATAGTTACTGAGCAGCGCAGCATTGGCATCCTTCCTGCAAAAAAAGTAAACTGTCATCAGTCAGGGTTCACGTCCCTCTGTGGGAATTTTTTTTTCTTTTTTTTTTGTGGGAATTAAATATATAAAATAATCCCTCTGTTAAGATTCAGTAGCCCAGTTCAGAAACCTGGGGACTACAACCCCAAATTGAGAAATGTCCGAAATCTCACTGGTTTAGCTGGCGATGCACAAATTCAGAGCAAATTCTCCTCTTTAAAACTGAGGTATATCACAAATCCATCATCAGGTAGGTTACTAAAATACTCTACTTATCCATGGTCCAAGTAGGCAGAAGTTAAGAGAAGTCAGACATCTAGAGGAAGTTAGTAGTAGGAAGAAACCGTGGGCCAAACCATAGGAGTAGGGGGATGGCAATAAACAGAGGGTGCTAGAATTAGCTGGAGAAACAGAGTGCCTCCTCATCCCACAGCCATGTCCCCTCTCCAGCACCATCTGCCTTCCACCAGCTATCGACATTTTGGGCAGCCAAGTTTTCCTGCTGGATCACTAGAAATGAGACCCTTAACACTAACATCACTCCTGGAAATCCCAGCAACGTCAGGAATCCTGCCAGATAGGCACAAAACTCCCGAAGTGTTTATCTTCACTGTCGACTCAACAGGCAGAGTTCACGTGTAGAACAGTGGTCAAAACCCTGACCCCTGTGCAATAGTGAATCAAGGCAAAATGTCACTTTCATGTATGAATGAGCACAGCAGTGTGACTTGATGAAATGACCACTGATCCATTCTACAGTATCACATCAAAAAGTACTTACTGTTCTTAACAGTATGCACTGTGAAGAAAGCAGTTTTATTAGTAACAATTAAGAATTCAGTTCTGACCTACTATATAGCACAGGGAACTATATTCTATATCTTGTAATAATCTATAATAGAAAAGAATCTGAAAAAGAATATATATGTATATATAGCTGAATCACTTTGCTGTATACCTGAAACACTGTAAATCAACTCTACTTCAATTTTCAAAAACCACAGTTTTGAAATCAGACACATCTGGGTTCATATTCCAGCCCTGCCACTTACATGAGTTTTAATGAGTTAATTACCACCCCTCTAAGCATCCCCATACAAAACAAAAACTGAGGATAAACTAATACCCAGAAGTATAGCCTAGATTCTAAATCTAGCTCCATCCTCCATTAGATACGTGAATCTGGGCAAGTTATTTAATCTTTCTATGCTTACATTTCCTCATCTATAAAATGGCAATTATAGTGCCAACCTCATAAGACTGTTATAGGACTGAGCTGAAACATAAAGTCCCTGGAACACAGTAAGGACTCAATAAATACTATCTATTACCATTTCTACCTGTGCTACCACCACCACGTCTTCCTACTTCAAAAAGCTGTTCTGAGGATCAAAGTGAAGTCGCTCAGTTGTGTCCGATTCTTTGCGACTCCATGGACTGCAGCCCACCAGGCTCCTCTGTCCATGGGATTTTCCAAGCATGAATACTGGAGTGGGTTGCCATCTCCTTCAGAAAACAACAAATTTTAAAAGTGTAACAGTTTGTGGTTTACTAGGATCACCCTAAAGGAAAGCTGTAAGACATCATTTCACTTTAATTCTCATTAAAAAGCCTGTGATGTAGGAGCTATTATGATTCCTTCCTTATGGATGATGAAACAGGTACAAAGATTAAAAACCATGCTCAAGGGCACACAGTTAAAAAAAAAACTAACTGAAGTGGACAATAACTATGGGATTGTAAAAAATAAAACTGGATGGAAATCAGTAATACAGAATCAATTCACCAAGGAGTTTGTATTTGACATAATGTGCAACAAAATATTACTGCCTGTTCTTAAACTAGGAGATGGGCTGTAAGGTGAAAACAAGGACACAAAATTTCAAAAACATGGGCCAAATAGATGGGTGGTTTCCCCAGTCAATAAATAAAGCAAAACAAGCAAGAGGTTGACACAGCATTCAGCTGAGACCTCAGGTCATCACACAGCGCTGTCAGCACAGTAATCGAATCAGCACAAGGCTTACCAAAGGTTACCAGTCATTCAACGGAAAGCCAGGACTTCATCAAGCAGCTTTGCGCAAATGACCACAATGGCATTCATGTCACAAGGAATATATTTAAAAGGAACCTGACACAGGAAGGATAGTGCATAATTAGGGGCCATGACATGGTTTATTTAAAACTGGAAATGACAAATCAAGCCACTTGTCATCCTTGACTACTTAATCAGGAAGTCAGCCCAAGAGCCTTCCTATGATCTTGGCTTAAAATTGAATTACAACTCCCTATGTGCCATTCTGGGGTACCAAAACAGCCCTTCCTGGAACAGGGTAGAGAAGAATTACAAATGCCATTCTTCCTCAAGACCAGTGGACCCATCCCAGGTACCACCGTGACAAGTTCACATCCAAGTCCCGGCCTCTCCTCGGTCATGCAGACTATTCCAGGCCCTGGGAAATCTGTCCTGGCTCTTCAAGTACTGCCCCGCTGCTCAAGTCCATGCTGTTAATGGAGAGAGAATCCTGAGAACATCTCCTGTCTTCTCTAGAGTCAATATACAAATGACAGGTGCTCCCTTCCAGGTGTATTGTCATGAACCTGTGTTTTGGGGCCAGGAGAACAATGGATCTTTAAACAAATACTGCACCTTGCACTCTGGTGGGCACAGCTGATTCATCTACTGATATTTTATTAGGAAGACAGTAATAATTTTTTTTACCCAGCTAAATACTAATGGAATAAATGCAAAAAAATTCATTCCTTTATTCAATAAAATATTGGGCTTCCCTGGTGGTCCATGGTTAATTCTGCAATTCCACTGTAGGAGGCACAAGTTTGATCCCCGCTCAGGGAAGTTTCACATGCCAATCGGTGTGGAAAAACAAAAAAACCCAATGAATATAGTGTCTGTTTTTATTAGGTCCTAAATGAATTGAGTGTATTGGGGAACTTTTTTTTAAATGCAGTTTTTATCCTGAAGAAGTTACTGTAACCACCACTAACCGGCAGGCTGCTGGGAACAGGATGTGGTGAGATTTGAGAGACATCTTAATCGTTACTTAATTTAACAGCACCAATGATGACGAGGTGATGCACTGAGAAGGAAACAGGCCTTAGAGCAATCCAGTCAAGAAGTGGTTAATTTAAGCCTAGTTAAGAGGATATAATCAGACAAATGCAACCTGAGGAAACTTCTTCAAATCCACTGGCCCAGATTCTTCAAATATTACTATCATTTGTCCTGATACCAACGTCACAAAAAGAGGCTAGGAAACTGTCTTAGAGTGAAAGAGGTTAAAGAACCCTGGCAACAAAGGCAATGTGTGATTCTTGACTGGATCCTAATCAATGTTTTCCTAAATCTAGCTAAAACATTATCAAGACAACTGGTGAAATTTTAATATAGATTGCATTTTAGTAACAGTGGTTATATCAGCACTGAATTCCCCAGGTGTGACGATGGTATTGCAGATACACAGGAAAATGCCTTTTAAGACTGATAACATGACACAGCTATAATTCTGAAATAGTTCAGTAGAGAGTGAGACAGAGTGAGAGTGAGTGAGTGTGTGTGTGTGTATGTGTGTGTGTGTGTAGAAAATGCATGCATGCATACGTGGTGACTCTAGGTAAAGGACATACAGGTACTTGTAATGCTCTTTTTTGCTACTGCTACATGGGTTTAAAATTTCATGAGGTAAAAAGTTGATAAAAATGGAGATGTAAAACTAAAACACTTCAGAAGGTGTTTTTAAAAAAGACATCAGTATAACTTGTAATTAAGGACCCTCTCTTCCAATTTTTTTTCCCTTCATTCTCTATTGTAGGACTTAGAATAGCACTGATATTACTTATGTTTAAGCAAATATTCCAAGTGGATTTTAAAGACTGTGTGAATCTAGACTTACAGGACGGCAGTCACTTAAGCTTCTTAATGAATCAGCTGACTTGCTATTTGAAATTTAACCTGTAAAATCTGCTTAACTTGCTGAGTCAATTTAATGGACACAAACAACTACTCTGGAAAACCAAATACTGACTAAACAGAACAAAATGATCTATTGACAGACGTTCCTTAGAAGCACACACGCCCAAGTCCAAGCAAACAGTGCCCAGTAACTGTCACACACGCTCTTACGGACACAAGGACGAACGGAATTGCTCACATTCTCCTATGTTTAACCTATGTCGCTGATTCAAATCCTGTTCTGAAAAACTAAACTCTGCTCCAAGAAAACTAAGCTGCCTTCAAAGTCAATGAACAAGTTAAAGCGTAGCATTCACTTGGGAGCTAGCAAACAAATTATCCTCTTTCCAGCCCTGTTACTGATCTGCTGTAGGACCTCTTAGCTAATGTCTTTAAACATCAGTATTTCCAGTTGAAAGATGAAAGAAATTCTGATACTCTTTCAAAAAGATGATACAAAAGAAAGTCCATTTTCCCTAACTCTGTATCTTAACTTCAAGAATACAAGGATGAATACAAAGTTTTCCAGGCATATAAATAACCCAGAGACATTAGACAAAGTCAGTCAAACAACAAATACCTTATGTAAACAAATACTTAATCTTGCTATGAATATTTGGTATCCTTTTATCTGATGTGATGGTGAAAAAGTTTTCATTTTTAAACTCTACCTTTCAACCAAATAAAGCATAAATATTCCTTAACCTTAAAAAACTTCTAGTATATATTATACATACCATTCACATACACTAGGTAGTTAGGGAAAAAAAGTAAAAACTCATGGGAGTCTTCCATCCATGCGCCCTCACTGCAGGTCCTAGGACTGCCTGGTAGAGGTACAATACATTTGCCCTCTCAGAAACTCAGGGGTCTCCTGAAGATCCTGAGGACCACACTGTCAGAGATCACACCTCATACTGGAGACCAGGCAAGATCTGAAGTTAGGCTTCCAGACCATCCCATTCCAGGGGCCCTGCCACCCCCAAACCACATGCTACCTCAGAAAACCATATTTTCCCAAAACTGCTAGCCACAAAATTCTTGATTGATCAATGACTTCTTAGAAGTGGGCAGGTTACTAGAGGAGAAAAAATTCTTGACTGAAATCATTTCACTTAGGAAAATCGGAAAATCAATATGCTAAGCAATCAAGAAACTAGCTAATTAATTTATATTAATTTAACTTCTTCAACTAATGAAGTACTATTGTATTACTTCACTCAACAAGTACAGTTAGCCCTCTGTATCTGTGGATGTGAAACCCACAGATACAAAACTAGTAAATACAGAAGGCCGACTATATTTACTGAAGGCCTACTGTGTGCCAGGTGCAGTGCTAAGTGCTAGCTGAACACACACTGGTCCCTGCCTTCATGGTACCCACACTCTCACGAGGAAGACAGAGTAAACATATCAAGTAAATAATAAACAAATAATAAGCAAATATAAATATAAACAAATATAAATAATAAACAAAAATAAACAAATCAAGTAAACATACATCTATTATTGTAACTTGTAATTATTTAAGGGGAAAATAAACCAAGGTTCTATGAGAGACAAAAAGCAGGACTTATTTCAGAATTACCAAAAAGGAAAAACACTGAAAAAGGATACTCAACCTGAGATGTCAAAGAGGTAAGAAAAGGGCAGAACAGGAGGAAAAGTATACCAGGAAGAAGGAACAGCAATGCAAAGGCCCGGAGGCAGTAAAGGGCTTGGAGGGTTACCCGTTACTTGCCTACCAGTGCAAAGTGTGTGTGTTCGGAGTAGGGTATGTGACAAGAGACCACGCTGGTGAGTGCGTGAGGTTAAACAGGGTCTTGTGGTCCTAGTAAGAAATGCAGATGTCCTGTAAGCACAACAGAAAAGCAATGAAGGAT